ATTTTATCAAGCATTTCATTAAGTCCTCCTCACACAGTTTAAAGTATTCAGAAGTTCGGCAGCTACTCTGAGAAGGATCAGAGAAAGGAGTGAGTAAATTGGAATTCCAGCTTTGAGGAAAAAAGTAAAGAGACCATGAAAAACCATGTACTTTATTAGGCCACCTGTTCCTTTCAGCTTCATACATATGCTGCCATCTATAACATAAGCTAATTAAAGCTAGCAACCAGTAATGCTATTGTTACTGATTTTCAAAAGCTAGAGTGAGTGGGTTTTTTGTTTTGTTTTTTTTTGGTTTTGTTTGTTTGTTTTTTCTAAGTGAACAGATTATGTTTTGTTGCTGGACTGCTAGTCTTGAAAAGAGCCTGATACTAATACTACTTAATGCCTGTTACGCCTACGCTCTTTTTACAGCTGATTCAAACTGGAGGAGCGCATCAGAACGAAAGATTAATGTTTTATCCTCTTGATGAGGAAAACAAACAAACAAAGGAAATCCATTTGCATTTCCTTATGTATCCTGGACCCCAAAAGTTCTTGTCTAGATTCTCCTTTTTAAAATAAAAAGGGAAAGCACCACATACACAATGCCCTAACGCCTTCCCTCTGTTCAAACATAGCAGATGCAATTGTCTGGTTTGTACTAATCTGAATCCAGTGTGGGCCAGGCAGATAGATCAAATTTACCATCAATACTAGTTAAGTGTTGAAGGAATGAGGAGTTTTTAAATAGCAAGGATGAGAGCAGATGTACAGACTAAAAGATAAAACAGAACCAGTTACAGCAAGAAGTTCATGCTATCAGTAGGTCCAGTAAACCAGATGCTTTGGCAGAACTATGGTAAAGACAGGGACACATGCTGGGGGCAGAGAGAGGAAGAGGTTGTGTTTCTACTCAAGAACGGGAACATAAACATAATTAATAACAGGATCCTGCATTACTTCTAGCAACATGTTTTATAACTGCAAGAAATGTGTTTATAATGAGAGTACTCACAGAGCAGTGAGGAACAGGGCCCCTCACACCGAGCTCTGTTCGGATTACAATCCTCCTTCAGAGAGAGCAGTCTGAATTGACACCGCGGACATAACTTGAGGGAGAAGTTGCATGTCAACCAACTGAAATGCATCACGGTGGTAAACAGCATCTCCTCTTCAGATGTTTGAAGTTGGGGAGCAGACAACCCTTGTGGAATGCCAAGTGGAAGGACTTGGCCTAGGAGGAGGTTGGAGACAGGTGTGGAGGAGCTTTCATCTACAGGAAATCACCCACAGACATTTTTACCACTTAAAAGACAAAGGACTGTTTGCTTTTAGCAGAAAAAGGATCAGCTTCCCTCACCTGGCTGAAAGTAACTGCAGGCCTGTGCATTCACAAAGTAATTCAGGCTGCCTTTAAAAGATCAAGTTGCAATGTTAGCCTTTAAAGCTCACCCACAGTCCTGTAAAATTTGGCCCTGTTCTGAGAAGCTATGCAAAGAGATGAATAAAAGAGGAAATGCAGGCAGATCTAGTAATTCTCATTAATTGCAGGAAATGAACATATCCTGGAAGGAAACAGCCCAACCTAGCCACAGAAGGGGGGGTGGGGGGAATGAGAAGCCACCAGCTATCTCAGACCTTTGGACACTCAGACTGCCTTCTAAAGTAAAAAATATTAGCTTCTTAGCAGGGGGTGGAGACGGGACTGACTTGCTAATCAGCTTTACACACTTCTAGAGCATTCAGGGCTACTGAGGCAGAGAATTTTGCATAGATGTTGGCCATATGATACAGTAGTTTCATGTCCATTCAGATAGGTCTCCAATTTTTGACCTGGAGGTTAGCCGTCTAGCACAATCAGTACCTTCTCGTTACCATTTACTTCTGCAGTTACCCTGCACTATTAAAGTACCAGAAGAACATGCATTCACCTTTCTTGGCTCAGCGTTCTTAATACACGCTGACATGGCAGGCTCTGCCTCTGCTTTTTTTCCCCCCCCCCCTCCTTCCTGGCTCGGTCTTGTGAGAGGTTAAAGTTCTGGCCTAATCCAGAGAAATACTTGTACTTTCATTTAACTTCTAAGGGAGTGTGTATTACTACAGGAATTTAATCATTTTGCTCCATTTGGTCAGCACTATAGCTCTGCTAAGCTAAACACTACATCCCATTAATCATACTAATCACAACACTGATGTTTTACCAGTCAGGCAGTTCACAGGCTTTTCGTTTCCTCAGCATTGAGCTAGAGTATTTGGGAAGTCACAAAGCCTCTCAGCATCTTTCAGCCCTCTCTGCATCAGAAGCCAGGTATTCTACACGCATTCAATATCCGCCCTCATGCGGAGCACATCTATCAGATACAGCGCAGACCATCTATCACAGAAAGACGCCAACTTCCAATGAGATTCAGAAGAACCCGTGATTCCAGTTTTGTGGAGAAATAATGTAGCATAATATTTTTGCACTTGTTAACATAAAATCTGGGTTGTTTCATAGTAGGCATACATCTCCTATACTTACATGTCTTGCCTACCTTGGAAAAAGTGTTTCTAATGAGCCTTCAGTTGTTTTAAGAAAAAAGTTACATTGCTTAAAAGGGACACTTAATTCCTTGTACTAAACACAGATCTGTTCTTCAAGAAGTAACATAGCCTGCAAGACAAATTTCAGCCTCCTGGACAAGCATCTTACAAAGTAATCTTCCTGTCACATTCACCCACTTAAGCTAAGACCTGTTTATGCTTCTCACTCAAGACCAAGGAAGCATGTTGTTCCAGACTAACTCCTCACCAAGTATCTTAAAACAAAGAGGTCACCTAGGCTTGAGGGCACCGCTGCCTGAATTTTCTGTATCCCGGTATTAGCACTCTAATACACTAATAATGCAGTAACATACTTTAATACCCTACAGAGGAAGCCACTAGTCAAGTTTATTTTCTTCTGTAAAGTTGCCGTAGACATCCCTACAACTGATTCACGTTTACAAAACTGGCTTCAGCAGCTTCTGACCCACCCAGCCCCAGCAGTCACCAACCCACAGCAGAAGGCAGGGCGCCAACTCCTTCCCAGCGTCCAGCCCCTGACCGAACCAAAGCGGCCAAGGCTCGGATATGCGCTCCTTTCTGCCACCTGCACCTACAGCAGCATTCACCAGAGCTCAGCTGTTACAAGCCCCAAGTTCACGGCACTGTTTTCCCTCTAAAACACATCAGTGGTCCATTTCATCTTTTTGGTTAGAAGTGTACCAAGGCTGTATATAAAAGTGATGGAAAATGATTATGATTTTTTAGATTAGCTGATCAGACTGGGGCAGGGGGGAAGCATTTCAGGCACAGCATTAGCTATAGGTCACAAAATTCATATGTTTTGTTTTTAAAGGACAAAACCTGTGCTAGCCTAAGGAAATAATAGAAGACAGGTATTACACTTACTCAACCACTGATCTCCGTATTACCGCTTTCTCAAACTCCTATCCACTCCATAAAAGATTTTGTATGATTTCTTTAAAACCAAAAGTATGCTCTTCCTCTCTTCCCTCTGCCTTTTTTTCTTTAAACTTCCAGACTTTTCTTGTGTTTAATGTATTAAGAACACTTGATGGTCAAGTAGCTCAAAACTTATCTTCGCAAACTCTGCTGGAGCATCCTGTGGAGGAGTTTCACAAAGTCCTACTGTAAATTCTTTCGTTTTGGACATCAAAGAAAGAATCTCATAAGTACACTTAAGATTACTTTCTAGAAAGTATTAGTAGAAATTCACAGAAAGTGAATCAACAGATCTTAGATGGCAACTACTATGACTATTTTCCCCTCATCATACTTGCACTCCACATTCTTAAATAGTATTTCCAATCACCCCCCCCAAGAAACCAAAACACTCCACCAAACAAAAAAAAATACACCATAGAACCCACCACACATCCTTACAAGGTAGGCAGAATTAGCATAAAACTTGTTCAGACAGAAAAAGTTGTAGACCTTTCTCACAGCAGAGAGAGAAGAGCAGCCCAGGGACTCTTCTCTTTCTCTGCAGGTTCCTGTAAACTCAGATGATCCAATTCTTGTCACTTCAGCTGGCTTTGGCTTAGCGCTCATAAACAAAGAATAGTTGTAAGCAATCTAGTCAAAAACATCCAAAAAGCAGGCTGAGAAGTGAAATAAGCTTGTTCAAAAGGCACTTCTTGGAGACTGACAAAACAAAAGCAAAGTTTCCCCCACCTTTTTGTACCCTATCAACTAAGCTCCCACTTATTTCTCCCCATCATGTAGAATCAGAAAGACCTGCTCCAGCCAGAGGGCATGAGAACAGAACAGCCCCATCATGCAGACCTGGTAACAATTAAATCACCTCACATAATTACTTGCTCCATGTCTGGAAGGAAGACAAAGGAAGCCGTGTGTGCAAAGTGTTAATTTGGCTAGCAGTAACTTAAAAGCTCTGTCAGGTACAGCCGGTCAGTCTTTGCTGGGGGCTCTTTCATGTTTCCCAACTAATTGCATTTAGAGGTTCTTCAAAGCTGGCAGTCTAGCTAAAGAAACGCAGAAAGTAAACGGACAGCCCTAGCTCTACCCGCTCCCGTTCACCAACAGATTGTTTTGCTTAGTGCAAGACATTTCACTGGGGTTTTCTACCCCATAGGTACATGACACACTAGCTTCTAGCAAAGCAATTACAAGCCATGTTTGTACATCTTTCAGCTCTCGTAGGGTCTATCAGAGAACAAGATCCAACTGTTAACTCAAATCTCATCATTTGAGCTTTTTTTTTTTTTTTTAAGAGATCTGCTTTTGAACAAGTCTCGATTAAAGAGCAGAGAGCATGGCAAAGAGCGCTAGGCAAACCAGCTCCCCTCAGGGGAGCTGAGGTGAATTTTCCGATGTCAGTCGGAAAACCTCAGCCCGGGCGTTTTAAAAGCCCTTCTTACGGCGCAGCGATGCCCGGACATTTGCGCGGAGGAGGAAGGCGGGGAAGGCGGGGAGCGAAAGCGAGGAGGGAAAGGAACAAAGTGCGACCCAACCTTCGTCCTCAAGGTCTGGTGGATGTCTGCTGCCAGCTCCCCTCTCCACCACTGCTCCTCCATCCTTTTTCTTCCCATCCAGACAAAGGCCCGGGAGAGAGACGGGGCCGCTCTGCGGGGAGGCAGAAGGAACCGCACGAGTGACCCGAGACCCT